GATTTTTCTTGGTGTTGGCGACTGACAGGACTGGACCATCATCAGAGCCCGTTAGAGACGGATTAATTTTACTGTTTCCTTTATTTTGTTGCAAAAACGCCTAAAATGACATACCCAAATTAAAATGACTGTAGCTTCTGAACCGCTCTGACTACATGCATGCATGAGGTCTTGCCAGAAAGAAAACTCCCTGAAGTTTCTTGTGAAAGTGTCAGAAACACTCTAGGTGATACAGAGACAGAGTAATGGGCCTCTGAAGTCAGTAACAAATTGAATATTTTGCCTAAAATAAAATAAAAAATGTGTTTCAGGATGAATAACTGTCTGTGGCTTCATCTGAGCAGGTAAATGACACTGTGGGGCTGTAGGCACACTATCAATGAACACTTGTTTCAAATTTGAAGAAGACTGCTCAAAGTATGACCATTCTACAGTGTTTTTACCATGAAAAGATCCAGGCGGAGCTCCAAATGACAAGTTGGTCACTCTGCTTCAAAACAGTACTATCAGTGATCAAACAACACTCAGCCAGCTTCAAACATTGTACCTTATTGAAATCAGGTGTGATTATGATAGCTGATGTTGTTTATGACACAGAAACACCATAAAATATCACCAAATAAAGCCATATGAAACGTGAAAGCTATGATCCCACTTTCTAGACGGTATATCTCAGCCAAAAATAGTGGTAGGAGTGAGACTCTTACCTTTTATAAATCAGCTAAGTCCCCGCTAACAGCTCCACATAAGATCGCGAGTAATCCTTTAACTTTTCCCGTCGAAAAACGGCATGACATGACTTGTCACCACTCATCGCGATTTTGGACTTTGTGTGTTTAGGCTGCTCTGGTGCCAAATACATAATAAATAAAAGAAAAACGATGTTATTTTTGAAAAGTTGAGAGCTTCCTGAATCCGGCAATACCAAACATCACATGGTTTGATGACGTAGTGCTTCTGGGAGATACCATTTAACAGAGGAGGGGGGGGCGAGGACGTCGGCGTCCTGGTGGAGTTAGAGAGGTTAAAAATGTTACAGTGAAATAATGATGGTGCGTCTTACACAGAAAGTAAAGTAGTAAAGTTAAAGTATTTTCTTTTTCTGCCCAGCGGACATTTTATAAAGCTGTATTTTTTGTCTGTGTCTGCCAGCAGGGTCGTCACAATATGAGCAGGCTTAATGATAATATGTCAGGTCCACTTCAGAGAATAAGCGCATATATTGGTTTTGGCAATCGGCCAAAATGAGTTGAAAATATCAGCACATTGGAAATCTGCAAAAGTCCACTGTTCTCCTGAGACCTGAACTTTTGTTTGGTTGACATTTTTAATTTCTCCTACTCATTTGTGATCAGTAGGATCTGATGAATATTAAAAAACTAAACACTGTCAACAATAATCAAGTCCCTGATGTCTTCAAACGAGTACTTCCTAATTAACAGTGTCATAGTGTCATGTTGTTCCTGGAATCTGCTGGAGCCACTCTCCCAGTTTGAGGGTCACTGCCCCGAGTGCTCCTTCTACCACAGGGGTCAACTTTGACCTTCCACATCGTTCCAGCTGTTCTTTCAACCCTTGATACTTCTCCACCTTTCCATGTTCCTTCTTTCTGATGTAGCTGTAGGCCGGTATCGCCGATTCATAAAGCACCTTTCATGCACAGAATGCAGCACAAAGTGTTTCACAATGCAGCGGCAGATACAAACACAGCAAAGAGATAAAACCATAAAGTTATACAACATTCTACAAGGAGAAGTTAAAAATAATAATAATAATAATGAATTAACTCTGAAAAGAAAAAACATTAAATATTAAAGCAGACAGCAGCTAGTTACAGGCTTTGTTAAAAAGATATGTTAAGAGTCATCCACTAAGCAGCAGGTCTGATGTTTAAGGGCGGGGTGTTTCATATGTTTAGGGTGCAATAACTGAAAGAGGCGTCCCCACGGGCAGAGACATGAGGAAGAGTTCAAAGAGCAGCTGTGGAGGACGTCAGGGTTCATGGAGGGACGTAAAATGGTATCAGAGGGGACGAGGAGATGAAGAGCCAAGAATAAATCCCCCCACACCTTCACGCCATCATCAGCTGAACTGTTGATACGAGGCCGGAGGATCTATGAGTTCATGTTGTTCACACCACGTTCTGACCTCAGCGTCTGAATGCTGCAGCACAAACTGAGACTCATTGTCGTGTCTTTTCATTAATCTTCCTACACCTCCCTCCAGGCCTCTGATTCACCTGTCCCTGTCACACCACTGCTAACAGAGAAAATTAAATGTTTTTGTCAACTCCACGTCACCTAAAATAACTTCAGTCTCAGAGTCAGAAAAGTTTTTCTTTCACTCTCTTTCTCTTCGTTTGCTCAATTGGCGATTGATTGGCATTCATGAACATACACACGTGCCTGCTATCAAAACCGAGCAAAGCACGAACGGCTGCATTCATGAATCCACTGTGAGTTTTTAGTACCGAAGTTTTATTATATATGCAAATCTACTCACAGATTCACTGACATTTCAAGAATGAGACCAGATGTTTGTTTCTTATTTTCTCGCTTGCTGTTATCTGCTAGATAAGATCATCACAGAGAGAAGTCAGGTTTCTTTAAAAATCGCCTAAATTATACCATTTATCACGTGGTTACGTTTAGCCAACACACACGTGGTTACGTTTAGCCAACACACACACGTGGTTACGTTTAGCCAGCACACACACACGTGGTGACGTTTAGCCAACACACACACACGTGGTTACGTTTAGCCAACACACACACACGGTTATGTTTAGCCAACGCACACACGTGGTTATGTTTAGCCAACGCACACACGTGGTTATGTTTAGCCAACACACACACGTGGTTACGTTTAGCCAACACACATGTGGTTACGTTTAGCCAACACACACACACGGTTATGTTTAGCCAACACACACACGTGGTTACGTTTAGCCAACACACACGTGGTTACGTTTAGCCAACACACACACGCGGTTATGTTTAGCCAACACACACACGTGGTTACGTTTAGCCAACACACACGTGGTTACGTTTAGCCAACACACACGTGGTTACGTTTAGCCAACACACACACATGTGGTTACGTTTAGCCAACACACACATGTGGCTACATTTCAAGCCAACACACACATCTGCCCCAGTCAGACTTTCGCTGCCTTAACTTTCGTCCTCATCCCGCCATATTTCTCCCTGACACGCGAGGCACCGTTTAACTAAAATGGCAACCAGCCGTGTATCATGCCGACGTTAAAGGACAGCTTTTTTCGTCGGTTTCTGACGCTGCCCAAGCACTGGATTTCGACGACCTTGCAGTGAGACCAGGCTGTACAGTGACGACTTCCAATGTGACCAAAAGTCCAGAACTGCATGATCATGTGTGATAAAGAAAAGCATCAAATTGTCACACTGAAGAAAAAAGAAAAAAAACAACAGTGACCCATTAATCTTCTGTTAATCAAATAATTGATTATTTGACTCACAGCTGCAGTCTGGATGTGATCTGTTATAATATAATCTAACACTCTTCACTGATGTCTCAGCAGCACAACATGAACGCGTCACAGAGAATACTGCAGGAACAAATCAGTGTGTGTGTGTGTGTGTGTGCGCGCGCGCGCGCGCGTGTCGAGAGAGAGTGAGTGGGGGGGATGGGGGACCCCTGTGACGTCAGAGATGTAGATCAAAAGGAGGGGGCTCGTGCGGGCAGAGGGAGGGAGGAGTGATCCTGATGGCGTGTGTGTGGAGGGGGGCGTGTTCGTGTGCGTGACGTCACCCCGAGCAGCCGCTTGTCCTTTTAAAGCCGCCGGTCGGACCGACAGACGCGCACAGTGACAGACAGACAGCGGGACTTTAAATACCTCGGAGCGTCTCTGACGGGACATCTGACAGCTGAGAGGACCGAGACGCGTTCAGGTCCCTCCGGACATCTTTTCCTCCCCCCGGCTCTTCTCCTCCTCTGATGGAGCTGCAGCAATTCCTCCACAGCCCGCACCGCCCGCCCGCCGCCCGCCGCCGCCGGGACTGAAGCCGCTCTCCGCTCGGTGTGTCCTCGTGACCGTGTCCCCTCCGTCCTCTCCGTCTTCCCGCAGGCCGCCGTCTCCTCCGTGACTCTCTGTTCCCATGCGATTCTTCAGACTCACATTCAAGTGTTTCGTGGATTGTTTTTGAAGGTCGCTGTCCGAGTGTTGGTTTAATTCTCTTTATTTTTTATTTTATCGTTTTATTTTTTTTTATTATTTTTTCTTTTGATCGGAGCAGAACATGTCTCCTGATTATTCGTAGACATTCTTAAATTGTGACCTTTTTACACGTGAATTCGTCCCAAGAAAATTGGATTCATACATAAAACAAGAGATCATCTGTGGATCATCTGCTTCCGGCTGAAGTGATCCGGGATCCACCTGCAGCTCGCGCACAGGGACAAGAATAATAATTATAATTATTATTATTATTATTATTAGAAGAAGAAGAAGAAGAAGAAGGAGATCCTGAACGGGACGGACTGACTCATCTGTTTCTGAGGTCTGTGAGCTGCACAACTAACGGGACAAGAGACTGAAATCACCAGTGCAACCAGTGCTCACTGACTGGTGTGTGACTGGTGTGTTAGTGGTGTGTGACTGGGAGGAAGGAACAGCAGAGCTCACCTTTTTAAAGGGACACAAATCTGCAGGATTAAAGAGAGAGTTGAGACTGAAATTATTCTGGAGGCAGAAAACAAACTGATTTAAAGTGTTTAAAGTGAGAAAAACCTGTCTAACTGGTGCCTGACTGGTGTCTAACTGGTGCCTGACTGGTGTCTAACTGGTGCCTGACTGGTGTCTAACTGGTGCCTGACTGTGGGAACGGTCAGGTCTTGACACAGAAACACAACAGAAAGTTTCAGGACTTGAAGGAAACTCAGAGACAGCCGCAGACCGAGGTCTTGGACCCTCTCCTGACTGGTTCTGAACTGGTTCTGAACTGGTTTGTGGACTGTGAGTGATGGAGAAGCAGGCCCTGCCAGCCTCCTCCTGCTCTCTGGTTCTCCTGGAGGAGACCAAGAAGAACCCCCTCCTCCTGTCTAATGGCGGTAGTGGCGGTGGTGGTTACCCACCTGCGGCCTCTAATGGCAGCCTGGTCCCGCTGACCGCAGTGGTGGCGGGGTCCGGCAGCAGCGGCGGCAGTGTGTCAGGAGGTGCCTGTGGTGGACCAGACAAAAAAGTGGTGACGGGGGCGGGGCCAGGATACCAGGAGCGGGAGACGTGGACGAGGCAGATGGACTTCATCATGTCCTGCGTGGGCTTCGCCGTTGGACTTGGAAACGTGTGGAGGTTCCCGTACCTGTGCTACAAGAACGGAGGAGGTGAGCTTGCCTTTGAGTGACGGGGTTAAACCGAGGGTGGGCGGGGCTTAAATCAGAGGGGCGTGGTTTCAACCGGCTTTGACTCTTTTGCAGTAAAATAACAAGAACCTGTGAGACAGAATGATCCAAGTCACGAGTTCAGTTACGTCTTCAGTTTGTGATCATCACTTCAGGTGTTCTTTTATCTCAGACATGTGTTAAGGTGCATCGGCTACCTGTTTTTGATCTGTCAGTCAGCTGATGTTAGGGAGGCGTGACTGACAGGACGATCACGCTCCCTGCTGATTGACAGTTCAGCTGATAAAGATGCGTCACAACCACCAAGTGACACTTCTGAGGAAGATGAAAGTTTTTCAGCTGCTATGACAACACATCACACTCGGTCAGTCCTCTTCATACAGGCTGTGAAGTAAATTGGTTCTGAAGTTTAAACAGTGAGTCACAGAGGTGCTCCTCTCTCTCCTCTGAGATGTGCAGGAGCAGCATAAAGTAGAAATACTCGAGTACAAGTTCCTCAAATTTCTCTAAATCCTAATGACGGCAGCTGCAAAGTTTTGTTTCAACTCAGTTCCTCGTAAATTTGGACAAAGCAGTGTGTCAGAGTAAACAAGAGGTGTGTCCTTAAACCACCCACACACACACACACATCGCCTGTAAGATATGTGTGCTATTAATCCGAGTGACGGCAGCAGATTGTGTGTGTGTGTGTGTGTGTTGGCTGCAGAGTGACTCATGATCATGTGTGCACCATGCAGAGGGGGGGTCAGAGATACTGTTACCTGCACTGATGTGTTTTACTATATATGCTACAGACAGTGTGTGTGTGTGTGTGTGTGTGTGTGCGCGTGCATTACAGTGTGTTTCCTCTGTGTGAACACTGACAGTCAGAACTCACTTTATATGAAGAACTTTAGTCTCATCCTGTTTAAACTCACCTCACAGACAGAGACAATAACAGCAGATTAAAAAAGTCAATGAGATCAAGAAACATAACAATGAATAATAAAACTAATAATAACATAACAAAGTAATAATCATCAAAACAAGTTTACAGTGTATAAAATTCATCAACATCATCTCTCTTTTTCTAAAACATATGAATTCATCGGTTTGTCGTATCGGCACAAATCAGCATGTTGGCTGATTCCATTATATTTCATTTTAATGCTGATGTCAGCCAATATTATCATGCATCCCTAACATATACACATATACACATATACACATATAGACATATAGACATATAGACATGTGCAGTTTATGTTCTTACCAGTTCTCCACATTATTCTTCAGCTTGTTTTCTGCCCACACTGCTCCCAGAATCCACCTCTTCATTTTAACCAACAGCTCTCGTTTCATTTTTGACCTCGACATTATCACAGACACGTTTCCTCCCTGACATCCCGTGCAGCTTTTCTTACTGAACAACTTGATCCTTTATCCTGTTCTTTATCCACCAGGCTCATTCTTTATCCATCTTTAATTTATCCATCATTAAATCCACAGTTTATACCGACGAGCTCGGTCCTGTTTTTGTTTTCACCCATCAGCCCGCCCTGATCCGTCTCCATCCTGTGTTTAAAGTTACTTCATTAAAGTAACCTATTACATTACAAACGTCACTGTCAGCCCCAGTTCACTCTCTATACTTAATGTTTTTTAAAGATAACTTCCATTTGAGAGTTTTAGTGGAGTAAAACACAGGAACAGAAAGGTTTTGAGTTCATCCAACACATTGTTGGAGGGCCCACTCTCTCTAAGGGCCCCCCACCTCAGGGGCCACAGTGTAACTGCACTGCCTGTTTGTACGCCCCTGTGTTCGTCCCTCCTGTCTCTGTCCATCCGTCCGTCCGTCCGTCCGTCCGTCCGTCCGTCCTCTGATCAGCGGCTCTCTGTCGTTCTTCTGACGCAGCGACAGTAACATCACATCACGTTTGAACGCACATGAAAAACAAATGTGGTAGATGGACCTTAAGTGAAGATTTTCCTTTAAATCCCAGTTAAGGTTTCCTTTGAATAAAATTGGTTGCACAAAACTACCTTAAATCTTCTCCTCAAGTTTTTCTTCTTATCTTGGTCTTATACTTAAGAAATTGCCTTTTAAGAGATTCCGTGCAACACCCTTAAATAATGTCCTGAGCTAAGGAAAAACTAAACCTTAAGGGTCATACTCAGGGAGCAAACTTAAGGTGCTTCATGCAGCCGGCCCTGGTTGCCTTCATATATCCAGCCAGCCCAGTCACCAGGAAAATGTTTGTGCGAACCACAGGTACGTTACATTTTTACCTTATTATGTAGCCGATATGTTGAAACTGAATATTCACGAAAATGTGGCTCATTATCTTCAGGCACAAAAACACTTAGCTATGGTTCAGAAAAATCATGTTTTGGCTTAAAACACAGCGATGAGTTTACTGGTGTTGAACGGTGTCTGCTGCTCGGCAGGCGTCTCTACGAGGTGTCGTAACATCCTCCTCCTGATGTCAGCTCGTATACGACGTCACTTTAGAAACGTTGATATGATACATCTGAAACGTACAAATGTATCTGCGGTTTGTAGAAACGTACAGTGCCAACATTTTCCTCTGACACTGGGCTGATCATTTTTTACGTGCTTCCATGTTTAGATAAAAACATCCTGCAGACACTTTCAACTTTTCTTACCGACCTGCTCCGTCCTCCGTCCAACACCACCCGCCGCAGCATCTGACACTGACTGTAGGAAGGGTTCAGGTCACAGAGCAGCTCTACTTCACTTCATCACACTTTGTGGTTTTAAACTTTATTTGTTTTGCTCTTCTGTACAAAGTTACACAGTTCTTTACAGAGAAACAAAGAAACCCTGAAATAATAAATTCCAGAGTTTCAGGAGTTTGTTTTATCAAAACTCACAGATGTGAATATTTAACAGCTGAGATAATAAAAGAAAAGAGGAACGTTTGTTTTTAACACTTCACTTCAGTTTTATCATTTAACTGTGTGTCTGTGGATCATTGACTCACCGTCACACGTCTCAGCCCAGCAAGTATTCATCTGCTTTACTGCAGGAAAAGTACAAATACTCTGTTGGTAAAGCTCCTGCCTGTCTGCTTGTGTGAAGAGTTTTCACTCAGTAAAATGAAGGAGTGGGCCCTCCAACGCTGTGCTGGGTGCTGTGATATGTGCACTCTGTGGGATGAACATTTTTTTGTCATAGTTTCCTTTTTACCACAGCAGGTTCTTAAAAAGTCTTAAAATGTCTTAAGTTCAATTTTTCTAACAATAAGAACTCATTAAAGTCATTAAATAGTCTTAAACTAAAAACTGTGAGGTCTGAACTGCTACAAACATTTGATCTGATTTCATTCATCTATTTTAAAATTTCTTTTTATGAAAATGAGAGAAGCCTTTCTGTGTAAAAGTCCAAATCTTTAAAGAACGATAATACTGTCATTTGACTTCATACTTACTTACTTACTGTTGGCAAAATATAGACTGACTTCACTGACTCTAATAACCATATTCCTACATGACACTGACCTCTGCACAAGACCACATAGTTCCTGCCTGCGATGCCCTCTTGCACTCCTCCCCCATTTTGTAGCGAAAACGCCTAAAATGACATACCCAAATTAAAATGACTGTAGCTTCTGAACCGCTCTGACTACATGCATGCATGAGGTCTTGCCAGAAAGAAAACTATCTGAAGTTTCTTGTGAAAGTGTCAGAAACACTCTAGGTGATACAGAGACAGAGTAATGGGCCTCTGAAGTCAGTAACAAATTGAATATTTTGCCTAAAATAAAATAAAAAACATGTTTCAGGATGAATAACTGTCTGTGGCTTCATCTGAGCAGGTAAATGACACTGTGGGGCTGTAGGCACACTATCAATGAACACTTGTTTCAAATTTGAAGAAGACTGCTCAAAGTATGACCATTCTACAGTGTTTTTACCATGAAAAGATCCAGGCGGAGCTCCAAATGACAAGTCAGTCACTCTGCTTCAAAACAGTCCTATCAGTGATCAAACAACACTCAGCCAGCTTCAAACATTGTACCTTATTGAAATCAGGTGTGATTATGATAGCTGATGTTGTTTATGACACAGAAACACCATAAAATATCACCAAATAAAGCCATATGAAACGTGAAAGTTATGATCCCACTTTCTAGACGGTATATCTCAGCCAAAAATAGTGGTAGGAGTGAGACTCTTACCTTTTATAAACCAGCTAAGTCCCCGCTAACAGCTCCACATAAGATCGCGAGTAATCCTTTAACGTTTCCCCTTGAAAAACAGCATGACATGACTTGTCACCACTCATTGCGATTTTGGACTCCGTGTGTTTAGGCTGCTCTGGTGCCAAATACATAATAAATAAAAGAAAAACGATGTTATTTTTGAAAAGTCGAGAGCTTCCTGAATCCAGCAATACCAAACATCACATGGTTTGATGACGTAGTGCGCCTGGGAGATACCATTTAACAGAGGAGGGGAGTGAGGACGTCGGCATCCTGGTGGAGTTAGAGAGGTTAAATAAGTAAAACATGATTTGTCTAAAAATCTGTCCTGAATGTGTTTAAGAGGCGTCTTGAATGGTCTAAATTAACACTGCTGCAGAGGAAGAACCAGACTCCCAGAAAAAAAAGGTTGTGTTTTGTGAGTTGTTGAGTTTGAGGAAAGTTTATAAATGTTCTGAAACACTGTCTATGAGAACGTCTTAATTATTTGTCTCCTCTGCTAGATTCAGCAAATACAGCACCATTTTTTCTGTTATAATAACCTCACAGTGTCAGTTTGTCCTGGTGCGTTTCAGCACCAGCTTGTAGCCTGAGAACTGACAGACCTGTCAGCCAATGAGATACGAGTATCTTCAGGTATCTTCCTGTAAACCATCTCTGACTGGTCTCATCTTGTCATTGGTCCGTTCACTGGAGATACAAAATTACAACACTGCAGTTTTCTTTAGTGACAGTTAACGTCTCAGAGTGGAGAATTAATCGGGCCTAAAGACGCCT